AAGAAAGAAAAGCTTGTAGTTAGTTCAAGGACTGTTTGTTGGCCTTTAGGACTGTTTTCCAGTCCAGTCTGTTGGGGCACCAAGCCCTGGCCCCAAAATTCACCTTCAGCATTCCCTGGGGACCTTGCTGCTTTGTTCCCTTGCTGTTCTGTTGCAACCCCTTAGTGTTTTGCTTCCTTGGGCAGGATCAGATCAGGTGCAATTCCCACAGTGTCTCAAGTGTTGTCCCCTGTAGGGCTATGGGTCAGTGAGGGACGTCATGCGTGTCTCACAGTGGGGCCGGCCATATGGTCCTCTCTGTAGACTGGTTGCTCTGGGCAGGAACATCGATCGTCCCTTAAGGCCTGTTGGGCCAGGATATGCTCCACTCTTTCCTCCTCCCCCTTCATCTGCTCCTGTGTGCTCTGATCAGACATGTCCCTCTCCCGGAGCTGCAGATTCAGTGCCATCCTCTGAAATAAATTCTTCTCGGGGGAGAGGCAGGTGTCCACGTAGTTGGGATTTGGGCCGCCACCTCATAAAATGATATTTTTTTTAAGTGAAGGAAGAGATGTGGCTAAACAAATGTGGCTTAGAGATTATTTTTCTTCAAGCAGTGGGAAGATTACTGATGAGTGGGCATTTGCATTTCTATACTGACTTAAACTATACAGTTAATTTGAACTTTTAGTTTTACTAAAAAATATTTCTATAGCTTTAACTTTTTTAGAGATACTTAAATTCACCCTAGTTTTTGATACTGTTTTTGCTCATTGGGCTCATAATTTACTTGAAAAAATTATCCAAGCTTTATTTTGTCATGTTAACAAGTTTACCACTTGTTACTTTCATCAAAGAACAATTGCTGCATGTGTTCAGTTTCCATTTGAATTGTTTGTGTGCACACTCCCACTGCATGCATATTGACTGCAGGGTGGGGTTATTTTTTACTTACTCAGCAGCCTACTGTTAATACACTTGATTCCGAAGTGGAAGCAACTCCCGGGCAACTGTTTTTTGGGTTTTTTTGCTGAACTGATTTTTGCTTCCAGTGAATCAGTTTACTGCTTGCTGTTTCATGCCTACCGGAAATCAATGGACCTGCTGTTTCTCTTTTAAACATTACCAAATCACATTTCCTCTCTGCCCAGCTGAGGTGGACGTCGTCAGTCCATTATCAGTGACTAAAAGATTATCATGACCAATAAAATATGAGGGGATATGACCCCCAAACTGTAGCCCCCCAAAAGCTATGTACTTAAATTTTTTACAAAACAACGGTGTCACCTTCAAAGTACTCTCCATTACACTTAATACATTTGTCAAATCTGCAATTCCATTCTTGGAAACATTTTTCAAGCTCATCTGTTTGGATGGCTGACAGCACTTTCCTCACTTGTTTCACCTCTTCTATGTCATCAAATCACTGTCCTTTCATGTCCTTCATTCAAGGAGATAAAAAGCAATTGCATAGAGTGAAGTCAGGTAAGGTGCATGGGGCAAGAGGCATGCTGTTTTTTGCCAAAAACTGGCACACACAGATGGCTGTGTGAACAGGTGCATTGTTGTGGTGGCCAACCAGTCCCCCGTCCACCACAAATCAGGCCTTTTTAGTCACACACTGTTATACAATCTTTTCAGAACCTCTAAATAGAAGTTTTTGTTAACAGTCTGACCTGGTGGAACGAGCTCCAAATGGACTGAGTTGACAATTTTGTCTGTTCGGAAGTTGATTGATGCCCAGAACAACATTTCACCTCTTTTGAAATGAGAAAACCACTTGTACACTTGAGTTTTCCCATAGTAAAATGAGGGAACTTGAGTATTTCCCTCGTAAGCTGTGTTCAATATCACAACAGTTTCTGTGGCATTTTTCTAGAGTAGGAAACAAAATTTCACAGATACACTCTGTTCTCTTGATTGGCCATCACCAAAAAACTAGGTTCAAGGGGAAAAGCTTTATAAAAAATTTCACTGTGACCAAAGAGAACCTTCCAGGCAACACCACTGGATGCACTAACTCAGAGCAAGTTGGTAGGTGCTCTCCTAGAGGGAAAATCTCCACCCAGTGGAACTGTTTTCTGGGCTCCTAAGTGAACCCTGTAGTTTTAAGTACATTCCCTGCCCTGGACTACAAAACAAATTCAGGAGCTACTTTTACATTTTACTACTTAGAAGCTGACTTATTCTAAGATATTGGGAGAAAGATGAGGATGTCTGATCCCATAAAGATTTCCAACCTAGGAAACTCAAAAGGACAGTCTATTCTGTCCTATAGGGCTACTGAGTCAGAATGAACTCAAGGCAATGAGTTGGGTGAGTCGCCCTGGTGGTGCAAACAGTTACAGGTTAGCGAGAGAAAGACCTGGCGATCTGTCTCTGTAAAGATTACAACCAAAAACCCCATTTCTACTCAGTCACCCAGGGCCACTGTAAATGAAGTTGACATAAGGACACCTAAAACAGCACCCCAAGAAAATAGGTCCACTCTTTCTATGATTGCTCAACTACATACAGTATATCTGAATATTCAACTACTATAATATGGGTCCGTTTTCTAAAGAGAGGGTTAATTATACTGCTGTTTTACTCCAACCAAATTGACTATCCAATATTTTCAAACCCAAAGTCACCTCGACAGAATAAATGAAGTATCTTATTGACACTTTCCTTGACTAGGTAGGAAAGTTTATTCCATTTGGACGGTTAGACGTCTTCCTAATTCCCAGTCGTGGCGACTGGTTTCCTTAGCCGCCCCATTATTACTTTCTCTTTTAAGGATTAAAGTTCCTCTGGCTGTTTTGGCCCTTCCACTCAATTAAACTGTTTTGAAATCATAGATGTGTTAACCTTACAAAAGAGAAGATAAACTTTTCTCACCATTTGGCTTCAGGGGCTGTCAGAGAACGCAATGCAAGAGAAAAAAATGCTTTCATAACCCTGAATAAGAATTTAAAAGCCTAGTTGAAACACAGCTGAAAATCCACAAGAGGGAGATGCTTGCCAATCCGCCAGAAAATACTCTTGGGAGGCCCTGGAGTCAGCCTCGGATTCGGGGCAGGAGTCAGCGCCGTCTTTAGTGCCTGGGGATTGGGGAAGATACAGCTGAAGGAAGAGCGGGATAGACTTCACGACGGTAGCAGCGAAGCGTGAGCTGGGTCTAAGGCCAGGAGCACAAGGTGTTGCCAAGCTGCAGAACAACCCTCCTGCGAGTAGTCCCCAAAGAAAACTGGTGGCCGTCGGTGAAGGCACTTCCGCTTAGCAACCCCACGCGGTTGCTAAGGAGGGGCAACCCGGAAATGGTTGTATTTATTTCTCTTGGCTGGCTCTCAGTTCGTCCTATCAGGTTTTCCGCTGTCGCCGGGCCGTGGGCGGAGCTAGAGTTAGCGGTTCCGGTTCAGCTCCTGCCGCTTCTCCGCTCCGAGCTTCCCCTCCCCTCCAGCATCTCGCCTCCCTCCCGTTCCCGGGAAAGAGAGAAGCCGCAGCTGTGGGTGGGTAGAGAGCACTCGGCGCCTTCCAGAAGGGACCGCGCCCGCAGCACCTGTGCCTGGAAGCGCTGCCGGACCAGGTATCCGCCCGGCATCGATGGCGCTCGGGAAGCCGGGGTCCAAGAGAATGGGTTGTCTGAGGATGTTGGTAGGGGCCCTTCCCCTGGGTTGGGGTGGAAGGACGCCAGGATCCCGGGTGGGGTGCAGGCCGGCGTGTGTGTCTGTGGAAGGTGTCGGTGTCCGAATGGAGGGCGCAGGGCTGCTCCAAAGCGATGTGGGTTGCGTAATTGAGGTTGGCGGCGGAGTCGCCCTCTTGGAGTGTAGGACTTCGGCCCGGGAGGACGGGGATTTTGCCCCCTGGAGGGTTTGCTTTGAAAGGGGTAGCATCCTCAAAAACCCGAAGGAGAGCATGATTCTTGGCTAGGTGGCTGGGGGCCCCAGCTCCTGTTTTCCTTCGTCTGCCTCCCCTGCCCAACCTGTTGGGAGGGACAGAGCAGAGCTTCCAGGGTCGCAGGGTTCCCAGTGGCTGGGCACCGCGGGGAGCCGCCCTTTGCAGAGCTCGGGCCGTAGAGTGGATGAGATCTCCTTCCACCCAACTTCCGTGCGCTTTCCCCACTTCTTCCTTTACTGCTCCTTCACCCCAGTGCCTTAGAGGAGCAATGCCCCCCAAATGTGTAGACATCACGGCTTAAAAGAAAGGATTTGTTGCTCTTAATGATTTTTGAGATGTTTGGAAAGTGTCCGAATGATTGATATACTACTCAACCAAGTCTTTCAGCCGTTGTTAAATCCAGTATAAATTATCTTAGAAAAGTGCAATTCTGGAAAGCACTAAACTATAGGCCTGTCAGCAAGTAGATGTACATGTGTAATTAAGGGAACCATATAGGCAAAGCATGTTGAGGCAAGTTTTTTCCAACCTCTGTCTTACCTGCCAGTAAACCTGCCCTATTTTAATGAAGCAGAACGATCCTCTTCATTTCTATTTCAATCAGTGACTGAATTGCTAGGAACTGTGTGGTGATAGACGCCCCAGAATAGATCTGTGAACGTTCACAGAGACAAAATTCTCTGCTGTTGAGCCTACCTCGTAGTCTTTTAAGGATATAACTGGTTAAGTGTGGAAGTATTGGCTTTGAAGTCGGTAAATCTGGGATAGAACCCAGGCTATGCCACTTGCTAGCTGTTGGTTGACCTTGGACAGATCATGGAATCTACCAGGGCCTCCGTTTTCCTCATAAGTAAAATATGATTCTTACAGTGTCATAAAAGGCATATTGTATTTAAATAACAGCTCATCATTTCAACACCTAGGAAATGGAATATGAATTATTTTCATGAATATTAAAGTTAGTGGTACCCTAGTTTTGTGGAACAAGTTTGAGAAGGGGATTGGGTTATAATATTCCAAGATATATGTATATATACAACAGACATTAAGTGGTTTCTAGAAATTGAACATTAAGTAGCATGAAATTTAAGTATTAGCGGTGTCTTAAAACTCATAGTAATAAAGCAGAATATGTACATTTTTTGAAATGGCCAAGGTCATTTGTTTGTACCCTGTTTGAACTGATAACAAGGAAAAGATTTTTTGAAAGAATATGTAAGTAGTAAATAACATCACATGTCTCTTTGAAGAGAATTAAAATTGGAACAGAAAGTAGAAAATACCTGTAATTTTAAGATAAAGATTTACATCAGTAGCATAATCCATGTTTTTTTTTAATCGTTTTATTAGGGGCTCATACGACTCATCACAATCCTTACATACATCAATTGTGTAAAGCACATTTGTACATTCATTGCCCTCGTCATTCTCAAAACATTTGCTCTCCACTTAAGCCCCCCGCATCAGGTCCTCATTTTTTACCCTCACTCCTCCCTACCCCTCCCTCATGAGCCCTTGATAATTTATAAATCATTATTTTGTCATATCTTGCCCTGTCCGACATCTCCCTTCACCCACTTTTCTGTTGTCCGTCCCCCAGGAAGGAGGTCACATATAGATCCTTGTAATCGGTTCCCTCTTAGCATAATCCATATTATTCAAACTAAATAAACTTTAAAAATTCCTCTATGTATAATACTTTTCTATAAAATTGATAAAACTAGAATGTCTTCCCTGAATAACTCATAACTAGAATACAGAAATCATGAAATCTTTATATTAATTATTTTTATAGTTAGGTGAGCTTTACAGTTAATATAGTTTGTTTCTTGACATAATTTTAGTATTTTTAATTTCAAAATATATTTTATATTTAAGCAAAGGACAAAAATCAAAACAACTTGTTTTAACAATAGATTTCTTTGTGTGAGTGAAGTGGGTATAAAGTTTGTAATTTATATTCATTTTAGAAGTTTTTTTAGAAAGCTTTATGTTCTGAAATTCGAGAAACAATTTCAATTATATTTCCCCCCATATTTCTCTTTTAAATAGAGTTGAAGTTGTTTTGCTATAGTAATAGATTTTTCAAAAAGATTATCTTACTTTTTGATTGACTCTCTTGAGAGTATAAAGTCTTTAGTATGGATCTAAGTTTTTTTGCTATAATTTTCTTTATTTTTTCCTGGATTAATTTTTTATTGTATATATATATACATATATATATGAAACAAAACATTTCATTTTGACAGTGCATTATTGTATGTATTTATGAAGTTACTATATTTCTTGTGAACATTTGCAGTGACATTGGTTGCATTTTTCACAATGTGTCAACAGCTCATTGTGTTATTTCCAGTAATTTGGTTCCTTTGTCCCCTTGCCCTTTCATTTGATTTTGAGTAATTGTTAGGCCATTTGTTCTCATATAGATGATGTTTCATAGGTGCACAGTACTCACTAGTAATATTTTTTATTTTATGGGCGAAATCTGTTATTTTGCTGAAATGTGACCTCAGTTTTGGTTAAAGTTTATGGATTATCCCAGGTTGAGTGATTGTTTGGGGAAGCCCTATAGACTCATTTGTTCCAGTAAGTCGGGACTTTTGAGTTCTGTTCTACTCAAAACCAAAATTTTTCTTATTTCTGTCAGGATCTATCTATTTTGGCCATTAACAGGACTGTTGTCAGTGACACCTGGGCATCATATAGTTCTTCTGGTAGATTAGACCCTGGTTCCTAAACTTATTTGGCCTATTGTTCCCTTTTCAGGAAAACACAAAAAATTACTGGACAGTCCCCTGACCATTACTTCAGAGGTGACTGATGACAGTGAGGGGTTTTTGGGTAGTTATCTAGTGCTGCTGTGATAGACACACCACAAGGGGTTGCTTTAACAAGCAGAAATTTATTTACTCATAGTTTAGGAGGCTAGAAGTCTAAATTCAGCATGCCAGCTCTAGGGGAAGAATTCTTTGTCAGTTCTGGAAGAAGGTCCAAGATTGCTACTGGGGTTGTCTTCATGTGGCCTGGTATCTATCTCTAGTCCTTCATTTCTGGTTTGCTTGCAGACTGAATATCTTTTATGTTTTAAAAGATACATCCTACACTAATCTTACCTCATTAACTAGACCATCAATTCCAAAATGGGATTATAGCCACAGCACAGATAGGATTTACAACACAATACTTTTGGAGTACATAATTCAATCTTTTTAAAAAAATCATTTTATTGGGGACTCATAAAACTCTTATCACAATCCATACATACATCAATTGTATAAAGCACATTTGTACATTCGTTACCCTCATCATTCTCAAAACATAAGCCCCCGGCATCAGCTCCTCATTTTTACCTTTCCCTCCCCCTCCCTCATGAACCCTTGATAATGATTAAATTATTATTTTGTCATATCATACACTATCTGACATCTCCCTTCACCCACTTTTCTGTTGTTCATCCCCCAGGGAGGAGGTTATATGTAGATCCCTGTAATCGATTCCCCCTTTCCACCCCACCCTTCCTCCACCCTTATGGTATCACCACTCTCACCTGGTCTTGAAGGGGTCATCTGTCCTGGATTCCCTGTGTTTTCAGTTCCTATCTGTACCAGTGTACATCCTCTGGTCTAGCCAGATTTGTAAGGTAGAATT